GAAAGGGATAGGTTTGTGATAGATTGATAGAACGATAGTGTTAGGATACGTTCCTGTGATGATATGACTATGACTAAGGTACGTTCACGTAACGATATGATTGTGATAGGTATAAGAACGTTAAGCCTATGATAAGTTAGGGAACAATATAACCACGAAGTGTTTACGATATGACATGTTTATGATACGATATATTGTGATGTGAGATGTTATGTTTAGATTGTTTTGTGTGACCATGGAGGTAATTGTTGTATGAATTGCACGTTATGAAATGACATGTTAAAAGCATGGAGCATTATGCTATGTTTCCTAAATTGTATGTATACAACATATTATGAATGACATGATAGCACGATAAATGAAATGAAATGTAATCCCGTTATGATTATGTATGATATGCAGACGGAAAAATGAGAAATGACATGTTAAGCATGAAAGATGATAGCGGGATTATATTCATTAATGATAAAAAGTAGAAATATTTGGGACCTCATGCATTATGTGTGCTCATGCATTTGGGGTGATACCCATATTCCATCATGAGGGTACGGACACGTACATCCAATGGCAGGACAACGATCGTTATGTTTTGCATAGCGTTGTCGTGACGGTTACTAGTTCAAACGGGTGTTCGGCCTAAGGAGCTCCCAGAGTATGCTCGTCCGACAAGGAAAGTAGTCCAGCGGTGTGCGAACTAACGGATAAGCCCATACTCGCACGTATGGGCTGTGTGTAGAGTATATGGCACATGTCCAAACTACCCGTCAGGACAGCACCGTAGGAAAATAGATTGAAAGGATAGGTCCCGTCATTGCATTCGCATGTTCTTGTATTTAACCTCAATAGTGTGGTCACTTATTGAGTATTTCTTTAAATACTCAAACTATGTGCTACTACATTTTTCAGGTTAAGGTAAGGCATTCCTGTACGGCTGACGATGGCATCGCAACTCAAGACCGTCATTGCATTCGCATGTTCTTGTATTTAACCCCAATAGTGTGGTCACTTATTGAGTATTTCTTAGACTTAGGCTAGAATAGGATGTTTTTAATTTAAACACTTATTTATTTTATTTAGTCTTTTGTTGTATCCTTTTAAGGATGTTTTCGAAACACGTAAGTCTATGACTGTGTTTTAAGATAAAGGATATGTTTTATGGAATATAAATGAAATCTTCCGCATTCAATGTTTAGGATAGGTATACAATAACGACCTTAAATTAAGTAGAAAATTTTGGGACATTACATATAGAACTCTTTAAGAATTTCTCTAATCCATGTGATTCTTGGGTATCATAATAAGTTGATGAGGCACGACCTTCTTTTGATTTCCAACCCTAGTCGTCTGAAAAGAATATTACCTATCTAGAGTATCATTATCGTACTTTTGTGCATAAAGGTTAAATGATGAGCAATCCTTCCCTTGCCCTCATCATGTTCTAACTTCATAATGTCAAATTCTAAAGCACGGCCCTATTGGGACCAATATAGTTTGAACCCACGTCCTCTCACAATTCTAACTTGAATTAAAAGTCAAGACAATAGTTCATCATCTTTATAGTAGTAGTTAGAGTTCCAATGGAGTGAAAGATTAGCCCCTAAACACATCGCCCTTATTAGCTCCTTAGACCACTCAACCATCCTGACACGTAATTAAAAGTCAAAACAATAATTCTCTATCTTTATCCATTATAGTAGCTAGAGATCAAATGGATAGAACGATTTCAACCGATAAACACATCTATGAGCCTGATGACGCCTTAGACCACTCGGCCATCCTGACTTGTGAATTAAAAGTCAAAACAATAGTTTCCCATCTTTCAGCTCATAAACATATTCTATTATCAACTCAAAGGATTGTCAGAAGTGGGATTTGAACCCACGTCCTCTCACGAGGACCAAAACATGAGTTTGGCGCCTTAGACTACCCTCACTTGTAATTAAAAGTCAAAACAGTGGTTCCCCTCATTTGTAATTAAAAGTCAAAACAGTGGTTCCCCTCACTTGTAATTAAAAGTCAAAACAGTGGTTCCCCATCTTTATCCATTATAGTAGCGATTTCAGCCCACAAACACATCTACTATCAGCTCACAAGGTTGTCAAAATGGGATTTGAACCCCACGCCCTCTCACGAGAACTAAAACAAAACTAGCACTTGAGTCTAGCTCCTTAGACCACTCGGCCATTCTGACATGTAATTAAAATATAAAACAATAGTTCTCCATCTTTATCCATTATAGTAGCTAGAGATCAAATGGGGTGAAAGATTTCAGCCCATAAACACATCTATTATCAACTCTCACAAGGTTGTCAAAAGTAGGATTTGAATTCACGCTCTCTCACAATGAGTCTTGCACCTTAAACCACTCACCCATCCTGTCTTGCAATTAAAATTTAAAAAAACAATAGTTCCCCATCTTTATCAAACAGCTAGAATGCAATGGTGTGAAAAAATTCCGCTCATCAACACATCTATTATCAGCCCACAAAAGTACAATTAGTATTAAATTAATTTCACACCTTCTCACGAGGACCAAAACTTGGGACTGCGCCTTAGATCACTTGGCCATCTTGACTTTCATTTTTTTTAAGGATTTTTAACCCATGCCCTTTCATAAGTAGTACTGATCTTAGGGTCTGGTAGATGTTGCTCGACACTAATAATAAGACTTTTTCGAATCGAGTGTCTAGTAGGTAAATAGTGTGAAGTATGAACATCAATTTTAGAGCAAAGGGCTCCTCCATACGCATGAGGATTCCCCTAGGGCCTTTTTAGGGGTCATAGTGACTCAAGGCGGATTTAACATAAATTTAATTATGGACCTAGATAAAATGTAGAGCTAAAAGTACCGAAAACCTTTTAGTTTATGAACCGAAAGAGTTAGAATACTCCTTGAAGGAGGTATAGGGTTTAGATATATATAAGCTTGATAAAGTTAGCACATACCATAAACCATAATTTTGACTAACTCTAAGAACAGTATTAGTACATAATTTCAGGTTCCTTGTATAAGAATAAGTTCGACGAGAGCCTACATGTTGGCATCCGTACCCTTGTGATGGAATAGGGGTATTCCCAAATGCATGAGGTCCTAACATTTTTCCATTTTCATTATCATTTAATACAACCCTCTTAGCAATATGTACATATCATATTGTTTCAGATATCGTTCAACATTCATCTCATATCGTTTCTCATTCTTCAATTCTCATATCATGCATAATGCTAACGGGGTTATATTTTATGTCATTTATCGTGATTTCATGTCATTCATATCATGTTGTATACACACAATTGAGGAGACAACATACCGTCCCATGCTTTTAACATAACATTTCCATCATATACATATCATACCATAACATATTGCATCACAATATATCATATTATAAACAAGTCAATTTATCACATATCTCGTACCATAACATATTTCATGTCATATGACAATAAATATATATATATATATATATATATATATATATATATATATTCGTCATTCACATGCCGTATCATAATCATATCATAGTGTAAACACTTCGTGGTCTTATCGTTCCCTAACTTATCATAGCCTTAACGTTTTATACCTATCACAGTCGTGTCGTTAGATGAACGTACCTTAGTCATATCATCACATGAACGTATCCTAATGCTATCGTTCTATCAATCTATCACACATCTATCCCTTTCTACCCATATCCCTTACTATACATAACCTAACCGTACTTTTTTATCAATCTCTCATATTCATAGCACTTTGGTATGTAACCTAACCTTAACGTTTCATGAACATATCTTACTCCTATCATTACATTTCGTTTTGTGCATCCTTATCATATCCTATCTCAAACATATCATTGAACACATCGTATCGTAATTATTATCATACAGTTCACATATTATAACATATACATAACATATCATAAGCATACCAATCTACAAACAATTCACACATATCATATATATGACATGTGCCGAACCACGGGGCACGTGTCAATATCAAATATAACCATGCCGATAGTAAAGTCACTTACTTGATTAGCTTAGGTTGATGTCCTAAAGTTATATTAATGAAAGTTCGATTCTGTCATTTGAAATCCAAGTCAACTTATGTGGGCCTCATGACATCTGTTTGAAGTTTAAACTCTTTAAAATTATTTTTCTAATTTACATTCGTCAATGTTTGAAGTTTGAACTCTTTAAAATTATTTTTCTAATTTACATTGGTCAATTGCTAAAAGGTTTGAAATGTTATATATCTATAATTATGTTTTTATTAAAAATCTTATTTAAAAAAGTTGATAGAGTTAGGTAAGTCATTGGGTGCTTTCATTGCTTTTCTTTTGTTCACAAGTATTCTAAATTTCTAGGGGATTCTCTTCACAAATTTTCATTGTCATTTTATTTTTAATCTATTTATTTGTCTACTGATATAAATTTACTGATCTAATATTATTAGTCTAACAGATTTACTAGCATTCATATAAATGATTGACATTTAGTTTCTAACCCAAAACTAAATAATGGTAAAAGATGGTAATGATTTAATGAAAATTTAACCATAATTGGCTGTGATTTCTAAAAGAAAAGGACAAAAAAAATTTAAATTTAATATATATCTTACTTATCAGATCTATCTCTACATAAATCTTCCTTAGGTGAATTGGGTAAAGTCATTCTCATTTTTTCGTCAAATTAAATTAATTATTGTTTTTCATTTTCTTTTTGCCAATTAAGATTTTTTTTTTTCTAAGAGGAGAGATAATTAGAGAAGGAATGAGAGGTTAGGGAAGAGAAATTAGGAGATTGTTTCTCTTTCTTTTAATGTCAAAACAAGGAGACATCATCAATGGCAAAAGGGCCCACTACTTTTTGGAAAGAAAGGAAAAGAAAAAGACAAGTTTGGTATGTTTTGCATATTTTTATACTCATCATTTTCAAGCTTCAAAGGAACATAATTGTTTTACATATCCTTTTTGAGAGCTACTTCAGCTTCACAAAAGGCTCGACACGAGGGGAGCAGTGGAACGGTTTCGATGAGCACTGTGGCTGTTGCAATGGCGTTGCTGTTGCTGCTTGGCTTCAAACATGGCGATGCTGCTGCAACTTTTGTTGTTGGCGACTCGAATGGATGGAACCTGGGCGTGGAGGGATGGCCTAATGGGAAGGTGTTTAGAGCCGGTGACATATTAAGTGAGTTTTCAACTCTCGTTTTGATCGTTGAATAGTAATTGATGTTTTACTTGCGTAATTGTATTTGTTAAGATTGATACTCTGATACTATGTTAAAATGAAAAACATAAGTGAGATTGAAAGTCCGACAAAAGAGAAAATATTCTACTAACCAAATTCTTAAGATAAGATAAAATATATCAAAACACAAGTCCCCTAGCAGACACATTTTAAAGTCTTGAGGGAAAACCCGAAAGGGAAAGTCCAAAGAGGATCTTGGTCATTGCATTACGGCTATATAAAATATATTTCAATAGTATCCGATCGTATTTGCAGTTAGATCGTTAATAATAAATGAAACGAATACATACAATTTTTTTTTTTTTTTTTGTAGGATTCAACTATAAGCCGAGAGTTCACAACGTGGTGGCAGTGAACGGGGGGGGTATAGAAGCTGCATAGCTCCAAAAGGCGCCAAAGTGTTCAATTCAGGCAAGGATGAGATCATGCTCTCAACAGGACACAACTTCTTCATATGCACCACGCCAGGCCACTGCCAAGCTGGGATAAAAATTGCTATCAATTCCCTCTAGTTTTCGACCACCCCGTCTCGTTTACACGTCAATCTCGATGTAAATGCTTTAAGTTGTAATTTTATAAAGATACTGATATAACGATGATTTGGAAGCATCGTGAAAATAAAATAGTTGATAATAATCAAGCGTGGTTATATGTATTTTATTATTATTATTTCTCTTTGTTTATTTATTTAATTTTTATAAATATGTTTAAATTAAATTTATAATGGATAACACTACATTAAAAATAATTAGGATAATAATGTTAATGCACTAAATTGTTCTATTTTTGTAAATTAATATAAATAAAAAAAATGGGTATATTTGCTTAAATTATATCTACTAGTAACTTATATCAACCTAATACAATATTTATTAAAACTATTATTTATAATAAAATAAGTTAAATTTATTTATTAAATAATTTAATACAACTGTATAAGTATTTAATTTTTGATAGATGGTTAAAATTTAAAATAAAAATATTATTTAATGATTTAAAATTAATTCATTAATTAAAAATATTATTTAATAATTTAAAATTAACTCATTAATTAGTAATTTAATTAACGGTTCAAATTTCACAAATATAGAAAGAGAGAATTAATATAAATATTATCTATTGTGATTTACATAAATATAAATAATGGAATTATTAGGGATCCTGTTTTAGAATCAATGATTGATTGTATAGTTTGTAAGCATTTTTTTTTCTTTTCCTATTTAGAAATTGCATTTGAAATTTTTTATAATTATTTAAAAATATATATTCTATACATTAACTAGGATTGTGACTTAAGAAAATCATCATCGTCATAATGAAGTCGTCCAACCTATCTGATAGTAATATTAAACGAACACGACTTTCCACAATGATATGATATTGTCCACTTTGAGCTCTTTGCTTTGGGCTTCCCTAAAAGGCCTCATACCAATGGAGTTAGTATTCTTCATTTATAAACCCATGATCATTTTCTAAATTAGCTGATGTGGGACTTTTATCATCCAACAAGTAAGACCACATACTTGGTTGGCCTTAACCGACATTTCGCTAAATTCGAGTACGCTTGTCTTCCGTCCCTCGAAGTTACTCCAAGTATCGCCGGGGTCGTTTCCTATTAGAAGGTCTATCTCATTTCGTTAGTTTTTAGCATTTCTAATCTATTTAACTTCAATTTGGGAAATAGAGCATTATAACGAACTCAATTACCTTAATTTATGTTTTTGGAATCTTATTTATAATTTATATACTTTCTTAAGAAAAATGGATTTTAGGTAAAGAAATGATAAAAGAAAGCTAACCCATTTTTTAAATTGAAAAATTAAATAGTCATCAATTTAATTTATTTAAGAGCGTATAAAATAATAATTTAAAAAAATAGCATAATTTAAAGGGAAGTCAAATTTATTCTATATTTGGAAAAACAATTAATTAAACTTTTGACATTTTTAAAATACATACTAAATTTATATGAGGGTAAAATTGGTTGAAAATAATTTTTTTTTTTTTTTTAGTACTTGAAAAAGCATAGAGTTTTAAATTATTTTCTTTAATGAAATTTGATTAAAAAAAAGGAGTGTTTACCTCAAATTATTATTATTTTGTTAAATTTAAATTGATCTAAAATCAGCTGGATAGTAGAAACGTTCATGGAGCAGGGTGGAAAAAATTTTCCCCATCTTCGTCCACCAACAGTAAGTTGAGCCTGGTTTGTGAAGGGAGAATACCTAGTTCGAGTTTAAAATGAGTTTTATGGTTTGACTTTAAAATTTCATATTCTAAATTCTCTCTCTGTAGGGTATGAAATTGATCGTGGTTGATGGGTAAGACTCGTTAGAGGACGATTTACACTTTCAGGAAGGATTCGTGAACCAAGAGGGATGGTAGAAGGAGATTGAGCTTGGAAATGCAAGGTACGATTTTGGAGTTTTGAGGAACTTTAGTAGATAATATCTCCCTCGATTCTTGACCAAACTCGACGATTTGTTGCTCATTACAATTGAATTGAATAATACTAAAGGTTTGATGAAAAAACCAAAATCAGAAGTTTGCAATGTGAGAACGGATGATAGGAAAAGACACATCTACGTGAAGGTATGTCTAGATTACTATACTTTATCTCTTTTTATGATATCTGAGTAACTCTTGTCCGGTGACTAATAGATCACTAACCATGGTGGAAATGTATTGGGTTGAGTGGTCCAAGGGGCTAGATTCAAGTTCTAGTCTTCATGAGAGGAGTGGGTTCTATAATGGATAAATTATATTCTTTCATGCCATTGAATTCTAGATACTATAATGGATAAAGATAGGGCACTATTGTTTCGACTTTTGTTTATAAGTCACGATGGTTGAGTGGTCTAATATTCTAGTCCTTGTGAGAGGTTGTGGGTTCAAATCCCACTTTTGACTACCTTGTGAGTAGATAATAGATGTGTTTATGGGCCGAATTCTTTCACTCTATTGAATTCTACCTACTATAATGGATAAAGATGGGAAACTATTGTTTTGACTTTTAATTATAAGTTAGGATGGCTGAGTGGTCTAATGCGCTAGACTTAAGTTCTGGTAGTTGCGAAAGGGTGTGGGTTCAAATCCCATGATTATGCTCAAAGACGAGTAAAAGTTTCAAACTTTTAGTAACATGGATTGCCACTTTAGTAACATGGATTGTCATGACGTACGAAAAAATACTATAAAAAGTTTACAATAGCGTTTTTCGTAAGCTATGGTACTCATTATTTCTTGTAGTTTATGATTTGTTCCGTTGAACGTATGCCTAAAAACGTTTGAAACTCAACTCGAGCAACAAAATCCAAAGGTTATCTCGAGATTCTCTCTTCTTTAATCATGCAGACCTAATGTCTATGGAGCTAGCAAAGGAATCAATCCTCATAAATCATTATCTACTATAGAGAGATAGAAGTTAGAAGAACAATACTCACAAACTACAACTACAAGTAGGTTGCTTACCGTGTACTTTTTATAGTCATTCTTTATTTTTAAAATGCATCGTGGTTGGAAAGTCGATGGTAAGAGCATGCAGAAAGTATGCGTTTGGGGTGTTAGCCACAAGTCATTGTCCTTGTTTATATTTTAATGACATTTTGGAACTTGTATTTATTTGTATATTTTGTGATGTGTAACCCAACACATGTTATGTTAACTTTAAACTAATTCTGAAAAATTGATATGTACATGCTTGCATAGTTGTAAACGTTTTGTCACATCTTCTTTTCTAAAAATAAAAAAGGTTATGGTATTTTTTATAAGGCTCATGTTAGTAATATTATAATAACCTTAAATTTTCTACTTAATTTAAAATTGTTACTCTCAATATATCATGAATATTGAATGCGAAATTATTCATTTGAACTTTCATAAAATAAAACTTTTATCTTAAAACACAGTCGATTTATGTGTTCGAAAACATTTTTAAAATGATACAACAAATAGCTAAATAAAATAAATGAAAGTCCATTTATGTGCCATAGTTTGTTGTGATGTCGTCATCAACCATATAGGAATGGATTACATATTTGGAAACATCCTCTTTCCTCTCTATCTCGCCCTATACTTTTAAAGTATTATCTGTCAGTTTATCCTCTTAGCCGACAAAGCTACACTATCGTTTTGGTAATAATCACTCGTGTCATCATGGTATTTCCTGGTTGGTTAGTCCTCTCTTCCATGACGTTATCTACACTATACGACGCGATGAGTCTCAACGGAGTGGTTGTCAACATCATGCTCATCATGAGGCAACTCAACTGTCTTTTTTTCTTCTCCCTCGTTTTCCCTTAGTCTCATGTTATTTTTCTTTGCAGGTAGATTCTGTGAAGTGTGGTTGAAGGTCTTTGGCGTGTTTTTTGTATTGGGGGAAACGTGTAAGGTGAGGGTGCGAGAATTCCGGCGAGTCTCGCCCCTTTTTTCCAACGACCTCATTTTTTTTTTTTTTTTGGATCCTTACATATATGATGATTCGTTGCTCGAGCTTCTCGAAAATTGAGTTGTTACAGGCTCATTAGTCAAGTTTTGAAATCATCACTTAAGGGAATTACTCCTGGTTTGATGAGGTCTCCAAAAAGGTAAGCGCATTAAATTGAATATAAAATTCATTCTCATTCACATAAATTAAAGAACAAGACCTCTAAGTCCCTCTGAGTTATGAGTTCATAGTTCACTCAAGATTAATTGCATAGGGTCATTTTGTGAAATATTAATCTTTTCAATTAACAAATTTATAAGGAGAGATTAAATATTTTGTGGTTCAATTTTATATAAACTCACGTATCTCCATATGAACAATTTAGATTCAATGATCCGTAGTATTATAAAATGGGTTGCATCAAATAGTGTTATCAAGAAAAAACACCGAACCTTATTCATATACTATAAACTACTGTGATTACTATTTGAAACTGATCCTCTCATATATAAAC